CAGGGTGGACTCCCTGGCCGGCTTCGGCTGCCCGGTTGGGGGGCTGGTGGCGGGCAAGCCCCGGGTGCTGTGCCACGAGAACGAGATCTACCTCTCCAACGGCAGTGAGTTCGTCTACGTCTATGACCAGGAGGGGAAGGGGCTGAAGGTGAGCAGGGGGGCACTGGGAGGGGGGTCTGGGGCCGCCGTCCCACCGGGGGCGCGTGCTCGCGCGGTGGGACTGTCCCGGGACAGGGCAGAGGCAGGGGGGATGCCAGTCGTATCCCCCCTTCGCTGGTCACCCAGTCTGGGGCTAGGGTCCTTCCTGGGGTCCCTCCATCAGGGTCTCCCATCCATAAACGAACTCCACAAGCAGCACCAGACCCCCCCCTACCCGCCTCTGAGGCCCCTTTTAGGAGCAGGGGATGCTGCCGTCTGGCCCCTCTCCTGAACTTGTGAGACAAAGGCTTAATTAAACCAGAAAGGCTTTTTTTTTCTTCCCTGAGCAAAGTGACATCTCTTTCATTTCTCACCTACAAAGGGTTTTGCTATTGTCTTTGCTGTGACTAACAGCCGTCGTCATGTCGAGTTATACACGGCTTCTTTTTTTAATTTGTTCTTATCATTTCTAAGCAAGCCATCGCTGTAGTATCAGGATTTGCCTCCTACACTGCGCTCCCTCTCAGGAAAGTAGATCATGTACCGGCTTTCTGATTGCTATTTTCCTTTCCCCTTGGGGAAGGTGAGTGACGGGCTGCCTCGTGACCTGCAGCCCTTCTCCCGACCCCCTGCCGCTCCTCGCTGAGGGCGGCTGCCCCTCACACAGGAAAGCCCAGGGGGGCCGTGAGCCACCGTGCTGCCCAGGGATAGATTTATTCCTGGAAATTGCCTATAACCTGCACGTGCAGGAAATAACCGCTTTAACTTGCCATTGCGTTGGGGTTGCCTGGGAGGGAGCATTGCCCAGCGAGCAGCTTCTTCCTTTACTCCGCACGGGTGCGGGCAAGCCGGGCCCTGCCCAACCTGGCAGCGTGGGCACCGTGGCTCCCTCCCGCTCGCACCTGCGCCAAGCAGCCCCCTCCCCGCCGCCCCCCCTGGGTGCCATAGGAAGGTGACATTTCCTTCTGCTTTTCTACCCAGGCCGTGTACCGGTGCCCCGACCAGGTGTGGCACGTGGAGCTGTTGCCCCAGCCCCGGCAGCTCTACATCCTCTGTGCCCACAGTGGCATTTACTGCGTCTCCCTGGACCAGCAGAGTAGGTGAGCTGGCTGTCACCCTCGGGGACACAAGCCTGGCCTCGGCCAGCCCTGTGCCATCAGCTATGGAGTCCTTGGGCTGCTTCTCAGGGCTGGGGTGCCACGTTGGGCCCTGCCCAGCCCCTGGTTTCTGCCACTGCCCTCTCCCTGCCCGTCCTCCCATAGGTGGGGGAAGCATTGCATGGTTTGTAGCGTACGGGCTCTCTCCGGATCGCTGCTCTTGCAGCAGATGCTAAAAGCTGTGCTGCAGGGAGCTTGTTTCTGAGGGCCAGGGTAAGAGGCGGCCAAGGGAAGCGCTGGCTTCGCCCCACGGCTTGGCTGAGAGCTCTTCCCTGTTTGCTTGAAGGTTAATGGAGCAGACGGATGGCGACGGCCAAGAAAGCAATTGCCCTTCCGGCGTCTTCCCTGTGGACTCAGACGCCTGCATCTTCCCAGACTCCAGCCTGTGCATGTTCACTCTGCTCAACAACTTTGTCATCACCTTGTCCCAGGCTCACGGCAAATGGTGGATGAAACTGCACGAGCTTCCGCACCCCGAGCAGGAGAGTCCCCCGTACCGGCAGGTCAGCGAGGTGGGCTTCTGCCCCGGCCCCCAGCCCGGGGACGGGGGGGAGGGCTGACTCCCGTCCCCGTGCCCCCAGGCTGGCACCGCGTCCCTCCCGGCACCATGGCGCACGTGGGCCACAGGGTGGACTACCTGGCCGGCTTCTGCTGCCCGGTTGGGGGGCTGGTGGCGGGCAAGCCCCGGGTGCTGTGCCACGAGAACGAGATCTACCTCTCCAACGGCAGTGAGTTCGTCTACGTCTATGACCAGGAGGGGAAGGTGCTGAAGGTGAGCAGGGGGGCACTGGGAGGGGGCCCTGGGGCCGCTGG